TGGGCTCTTCCCAACACTGAGTCTGTGAAAGTCTTGGAGAGTCCTGACCTCTCCAGGCTGAGTGCCCTTAGAGTCTAGGGCACCAGGTGGGATTGGAGTGGTGCTTCCTTGAGTGCAGACTCACTGAGAAGACTAAGGCAACACCTGCATCTTCCAGCTCCCCGGACTTTTCCTCCGAGCTCTGAAAGAAGGAGGAGGGACAGAGTGAGCGGGCAAAAACTCACTGTCAGGGAGGGAGGAAGTCAGATCGGCTGATTGGTTCAGTTAGTAATTTAATAAAAGGGTATTTACTAGCTCTTCTTTCATTATTAAAAACGTCTTTGGATATTAAAATGTTCTTTTGGTCCAATTATGATACTCTGAGGCAGGATGTTTTCACATCTTGTTACCACAGCATGACGTAAACTTCTAATGTGACGTCAGAACACAGAATAAGAAACTCCCTTGGACCTAGACCTGTAGAAGGATTTGAGGGAGAGGAGTCCGAGACAGGAATTCCAGGAGAGAGACCACGAGGCAGCTGCATGTTTCAGGGGAAAGGCTGTGGGCTGTCGACCCAGGCAGACGTGCATTAGGATCCACACTCAACCCCTGAAAAATCTGTGGGAGCTCAGACACATCCCTGTCTCCTCTTAAAGCTCCAGGCACCTCATCTGCAAATCAGGGATCACAATTTGTTGTTAGGATGATATGCCATATGTGTAAAGTGCCAACTGGAGTGATTGGCACACGTTAGGACATTATTAAATATTATAGAAGGTGAAGAAGCATGGAAGGTGGAAATAGCAGAAAAGAATGGACCCTGAGGAGGATCAGCATCTGCTCCCAAGCAGCTGGAGGAACACTGAGAGGGGAAGGGTAGTCGCCAAGTATAGACTTGCCAAAGATCCAGGAGACTTTTGAACGTAAAGTTCAATATTTGGACCTTGATCAGGGGGAAATAGGGAACAACTCAAGGATATCATGTAGACCCCAGAATTTCTGAAAATCAGTGCCTGACTGTGTTTCCTGAGTGATTCTGTAATCCTCAGGGTGATTCTTTATTAAGACCATGTCTGCATAATTAAAGAAATGACCCTTAGAGTTCATCTCCCTCCCTAGACCACAAATGGATTCATTCATTCATGATTCATGAAATACACAGGTGAGGAATGCATGCTCTGGATTCGGACTCCTTTGATGAATTTTGTCACCTACCGTATTGGAAGTGTCATTTGGTTTTATGAATCTCATGGTGCCTCCATGTCTTCTCATGTGAAGCAGCACCAACCTCATTGGGTGACTGTGAGTAGCAAGTTAGCAAAGAATTAAGAACAGTGTCTGGCACTGGAGGAGGCAGGTAGGAAAAAGAGAACCATTGTTTTTTCATGCATGCATTGAAAAACTGTGTGTGTCATTACATCCCAGATAAGACACTGGCCACAAACATGAGCAGACACAAATGACCCCTGATTTCGATTCTCTGCATGTTTTCACATCATTGTCCCCACTACTAAGCCCAGGTCCTGTTCTGGGGTAGTCATCAGTAGGTGTTCATGGTGTACAGGAGCTAATGAGTCACTGAATGAGAACAATGTGCTACAAACTATCCTTCAAGAAGATGAAACTAGTGGAGGAAAGAGAAAGGGTCTGTAAGCACTTGCTAAAGACCTGTGAATTCAGAAATGGAAGAGGAGTGGGTGGGAACAACTATATAGATCGTCCAACTTGTGGAGAACAGAGCAACTCATCGACTTTGGCCGAGGAGGTAAGGAGGGAAGAAAAGCTGCAGTTTCCAGTGTGGGTGTCGGAAGGATGGGGATTCCATTTGTGGAAAGAAGAGGCTCCAGAGGAAAGTAGGCTTTACTTTTTACATATTGAGCTTGCCATGCCAGGAAAAAGTAAAAAGGGAAGAGACTGCTCATCCTAACAATATTATTTAATGTTAGAATCTATGCAGAGAATTCTCCACAAGTTTAGTCCTCAAAACAACCCTAAAAATTATACAGATATCATCCCCTTTGACAAAGTAAGATTCTAGGCAATTCTCAAGAACACTCATAAACGGTGACTCCTTGAGCCAAACCCAGGAGTGTCTCTATTTTTCATCAAGTTTAATGGACACATAAGAAGTGTGCCTATTTGTAGGTTATAGTGTGACGTATCAGTAGGAGTATGCAGCTTATAATGACCAGATCAGGGTAATTCACATCCACACCACCTAGGACATTATCATCTTTGTACTGGGCACCTTCAAATCCTTTCTAGCCATTTAAAAACATACAACGACTTATTTGTCCAGTTACCCAACTGTGCTGCAGAAAAAAAAAAAAAAACAGAACTTATTCCTCGCACCCAGCGCTCTTTTTATTCTCAATCAACAATGTCATTCTGACCCCTCCCCCAAACCCTTTCTAGCCTGGCAACTGCTGTTTCCTTCTCTGCATCTGTGGAATCTACCTTTTAGCCTCCACATCTAGGAAGAGGATGTATGTGTTTTTCTGTGACTGTTTATATCTCTTCCCATAATGTCACCTAAGCTCACCCATGCTGCCACTAATCATAGAATTTTATTCTTTCTCAAGATCAAATGATGTTCTGTTGTCTATATGGACGTGAATTCTGTATCCATACATCCATTGGTGGCCAGGTCTGTCTCTTTCACACCTATTTCTTTTATTTGTTTATCTGTTTATTTATTTATCTGTTTGTTTGTTTGTTTTTGGTGCTACGGGTTGAACCCAGAGGTGCTTAACCACTGAGCCACATCCCAGCCCTTTTTGTATTTTATTTTGGAGACAGGGGCTCACTGAGTTGCTTAGGGCCTCACTTTTGCTGTGGCTGGCTTTGAACTCACAATCCTCCTGCCTCAGCCTCCCAAGCCACAGGGATCAGAGGCATGCACCACGGCTCCCCAGCTTCACACCTCTTTCTTTAGACTTGAGGTGACACTGCCTGGCCCTAAGATAGCCCTTCCTGTGCCACCCCATTTTGTCCTCTAGGAAACCTCAGGGGCTTTTCCCAACTGTCAACATAGGAAGGTGACGCTGGGAGAGCTAAGTAGTAAGTAACAGAGCCAGGGTCCAAGTCCTGGTCCATCTGACCCACTTAGGTCTGCTTCCCAATGTTCCCTCTGCCTGAAGACTGTCCCCACGAGGATGTTGAGTTTGTGGAAGCAACACAGGTGTGGGTTTCAGCCTGGAGTCGTAGGTTGGGGAAGAAGTCTTGGAAAAAAGGTGCAGGAGCGAAGCTTCTCAAAGCAACTCGTATCTTGGAATTCATACCATCGACCCTGAAAGGATACGCAAAATTACACCCCCGTGTTTCTTTTTCTTGACAGGAGAGCCTGTGACTTTTATCAGATTCCCTCAAGGATCAGGGGACAACCGTGGCACAAAAAAAAAAAAAAACAAAATCCAGGATCTTGGAAAGCATTTGAGTTTGAGAAGTGAGCGGTTCCCAAGACGGCAATCCATAGGCACTGGAGACAGACTCTAACCTGCGCCGCCCCTGAACCGGGATTTGATTAACACGTAAGTTGCATGCATTGAGGGGTCACGCCTATGGGGCACTTCTGTTAAATCCACCTCCTGCCTCCCTTGATCCACCCTCCCGACCTTCCCAACCTCTAGAAACCAGTATTCCATATTCAGAGAGATGTTTTTAGCCTCCCCAGGTGAGAAGGCTCATGCTGTACCTGTCCTTCTGGGCCTGGCTTGTTTCAGATGCACCTTCTAAAAGTACATCGCACCTGCAGTTGGCTGACCCTGTGGGTGTGGGGCCAGCAGCTGTGGGGGGCTTCGCCTTTCCTGCTTGGCTTGGCCCACGCCTTTCTGCGATACCCCGACTGCCACCTTAGAAGTCGCCCAGTCAGTATCCATTAGTTCAGTGGTCCTCCTTACGTTTTAATCACGTCTGCCTGATGGAGAAAGTCCAACATACTCAATAGGTCTATTCTTTACAATGTGAGAACCTTAAACTTAAAATTCTATTCTAACTTTACTTTTTTATCTTATATATTTCTTATATATTCTTGTGTTCATACTCTATTTTCTATCTCCACTCACCTTTTGGTGAGCATCTAGATGGATTTGATATTATGCTGCAATAAACATGGGTATGCAGGTGCCTCTTAGGTAGGATGATTTCATTTCCTTCGGCTACATACCCAGGAAAGGGAGAGCTGGATTCTACGGTAATTGGGTTTCACTTTTTCTGAGAACCCTCCATGCTGTTCTCCATGGTGGATGTACTAATTTATGTACCTACCAACAGTGTATTAAGGTTTCTTTTTCTCCACATCCTCACCAGCATTTCTTACTTTTTACAGTTTTGTTAATAGATCTTTCAACTGGAATCAGATGATATCTGGTTGTAGTTTGGATTTGCATTTCTCTGATAGCTAGTGATTTTGCGCCTGTTTTGTTGTTGTTGTTGTTGTTCCAGAGACTGAACTCAGGGACACTGTACTATTGAGCCCCATCCCCAGCCTATTTTATATTTTATTTAGAGACAGGATCTCACTGAGTTGCTTAGCACCTCACTTTTTGCTGAGGCTGGCTTTGAACTTGCGATCCTCCTACCTCAGCCTCTAGAGCCACTGGGATTACAGACACGCGCCACTGCACCTGGCTGATTTGGTGCATTTTTCATAAATTTATTGGTTGCCTCATGTTTCAATCCACTTTTTAAACATACATATTCTCAATAATATTACTATTGACAACTCCGTGTTTGGGTCATAGATTTCCTACCTATATACCCGCTTTTTGGCTGACCACTGCTCCTTGGACATCATGTCTTTCTTGATTCAATTTGTTTAAGCTGAAGAACACCCTTTGGTTAATTCTGCCGCAAGGGTCCATGCATGATCCACTCTCTCGATCTCTGTATGAAGTGGTAATATTCAGAAGAGGAACTAAGCCTTGAAAGATGAGTTAATGTAAGCACTTTGACAAAAGTTCCAGGTGTTGTAATGATCCCAGATGAGAACCAGGGTGTGATCCTATCTGACCTTCTAAAATTATCTCCCTGACCTCCATTAACTTCCCTTTCAATACTTCCAGCGGCACCACCCCCATGGAACCATGGAACCAAACCAGTGCCTCTGAATTCATCCTCCTGGGACTTTCAGAGAAGCCAGAACATGAGACTCTTCTCTTTTCCCTGTTCCTCTGCATGTACGTGGTCACCGTCATCGGGAACCTGTTGATCATCCTGGCCATTGGCTCCGACTCCCACCTCCACACGCCTATGTACTTCTTTCTGGCCAACCTTTCCTTGGTCGATCTCTGCCTGGCCACCAACACTGTCCCCAAGATGTTGGTGAACATCCAAACCAGGAGCAAGTCCATCTCTTATCCTTGCTGCCTGACCCAAATGTACTTTTTCCATTTCTTTGGTATCATGGATAGCGTCTTAATCGCCGTGATGGCCTACGACCGGTTCGTGGCCATCTGTCACCCCTTACACTACACCACCATCATGAGCCCCCGCCTCTGTGGACTGCTCACCGGGGGTCCATGGGTGACTTCCTGCTTCCTCTCCCTCACCCACATCCTCCTGATGGCCCGCCTTGTCTTCTGTGGCAACAATGAGCTGCCCCACTACTTCTGTGACCTCACTCCTCTTCTCCGGCTTTCTTGCACGGACACATGGGTGAACAGGATCTTCGTCCTCATTGTGGCCGGGATGGTGATAGCCACGCCCTTCGTCTGCATCCTGGCCTCCTATGCCCGCATCATTGTGGCCATCCTGAAGGTCCCCTCTGCGGGCGGAAGAAAGAAAGCCTTTTCCACCTGCAGTTCCCACCTCTCTGTGGTGGCCCTCTTCTATGGGACCACCATTGGGGTGTATCTGTGTCCCTCTTCTGTGCGCACAGCTGTGAAGGAGAAGGCTTCCGCTGTGATGTACACAGCGGTCACCCCCATGCTGAACCCCTTTATCTACAGCCTGAGGAACAGGGACCTGAAGGGGGCCCTGRGGAAGCTCATCAACAGAAAGGTCAGCTCGTCTTCCTGACCACCGTGACACTGGGGAATATCCAGAGAGGAGAAACGAAACATGAGTGAGCTTGGAACAAAGTCTGGAATCGCATGGGATGGAAGAGTGGCCACTTTGGATTTTGAGTTGCAGAAGTTCAAAAGCAAATCTTAAAAAGACTTTGTAACTATTTCCCCCAAATGCTGGAACCAGTGAGCATCCTGCCGAGTATATCTCACACCATCTTCCCAGAAGGGTGAGTCTAGCCCTTCCCGATTGGAAGTGCCCTGGTTCATAGTCCAGATAGTACTCAGTACGCAGAGTCGTKCATTGCTGGATCTCATGGGGACCACTGTCATACATGCAGTCTGCATTGACTGAATGTCATTAGGGCCATGTGACTCTGTTTGTTGAGTACTGACTCACTGAGGGCTTGATGTTAGGTGCTGGCCACAGGGTGGCAAGCAGGTGAGACAGGATCCTTGGAGTGTGGAGTTTATCATTAAGCGTGGGGGAGGACAGAGCCCAGGTGGTGACAGTAAGCGGAATCCAAACCTCGAGGGAAAGGTAAGAGTCTGGAAGAGAAGGTTCCTTGGGAGAGGTGATCCCAGATCCAAAAAAGAAATATTGTCCACGTACAAACAAGGAGAAAGAGTGTCTCAGACGAGGTCAACCATGTGAGAAAATATTAGCAAAAGACACATTTGAGAAGTGAAAAATCCAGTCGTAGCCAAAGCCGCTGGGGAATGCCAGGTCAGGGTGGATTTTGGAAACCGACCTGAGAGTCTGACTTTTCTCCTAAGAACTTGACATCCAAGGGCCCAAATCAGGAAGCCTGTGGTGCAAAGCATCCCCCTTTCGCCTGAGCTAAGGGCACGGGGCGGGCTGCACTAGGGAAAGCTTGAGGAAGGCCCAGGAAGAAAAGGACAGGGACCTTGCCCTGGAAGGACAAGGAATCACTGCCTGGTGGACACAGATCCTGCCCGCCCAGGGGAAGCCAGCAACGGAGCTCCGAACGCCTCCTCGCACGTTTCCTTGAATTGCCTCACTACATCACGCTCCAGTCCCCACGAAGGCTGAAATGGCACGTAGGTCTATGGTCGGTAATCCTCATGCTCATCCGGACACGGCAGCTAAAGGGGAATGAACAGTGACTTGGGAAGGACCATTCTTTTCAAACGGTGCTGTGAAGCTGACATCATCCTAAGCAGAATGGCTTGGAGTAATCGGGCATCACATTTGCTTTGGCTGCTTTTATTCCAAGGAAATAAATTGGGATTTCACAGGTGAACCAGGAGCCCCCAGACTCAGCTGCACATCTCTATAAGAACAGAGGTTGGGAAGGCAAAGCAAATCAACTTGAGGATGTGCCGGTTAATAAAACAGAGAATTTGAGAAGACTGTCGTTTCCCAAGGGAAGTCCCTGAGTCTGGGTGAGGCATTTTTGGAGTGACCAAAGACCACGGGAGTTCCCTCTGTTCTCTAGCCATGTGCATGCAAGTGGTAACAGTGCTGGCTGGGAGAGGCTTAGAATTGCCAGAGACTTGGGACACCACTACAACCTGGGGGTTCCTAGAAACCTGTGAAGATCTGTCTCTTTGTAGCCCGCTTGAGCTGAAGCATCTTTTCCCCTTTGCCCCCTCCCTCTCCTGTGGAATGGGAGATGCTGCAGATGCCAATAAAACTGCTCTGGATTTGTCAGCTAAATCCTCTCTGTCATCTCATCTCTGTATCATTCGATATTAAGCAATAAAGGCCAAGGGGTCGGGGTGTAGCTCAATAGTAGAGTTCTTGCCTAGCATGCATGTGGCCCCGGGTTCAACCCTTAGCACGGCARAGAAAGAGAAAATAAAGTGGGGAGGAGGAGAAAAAAGACCACCACTCCACCAGAGATCTGCAATGGTGGCCCTTACAATATCCAYTCTCATCGCTTGTTGGCATTGATGTGTTTCCCTCATTCAATCAACAAATATTCACCAAGGGCAAGCTATCATGTAGGCGTTGGATACAAAGGGTCAGCAGGAGAGAGTAAAACCACTTTCTTACGACTCTAATGGCAATTTGCAGGGTGATGGGACTGTTCTATATCCTAATTGCTGAGCAGCAACATTTAAATTTTTAAATGGCGTGCTTGTTAACAAGATTCCACAAATGTCTATGTAGGATAAGATTCCAAGACCTGTACACTCATATAAAGAAAGTCATTTTTACTATTTACTATTTACTACTATTGTAAATGAGGTAGTTTTCCTAGTTTCTCTTTCAGAGGATGTGTCACTGATGTACAGAAATGCCTTTGATTATGGATGTTTTCTTCTATGTTTTTGACACCATGGCAATGCAAAAATAAAATTACAGAGGCCTCTCAACTGGTGATGGAGCTACCTCCTAATACACCTAATCAGAAGTTGAAACTATTCTAAGCTGAAAATGCATTGGCTATACCTAACCCACCAAACATCCTAGCTCAGCCCAGCCTACCTAATACTCCAGGACACATACATCAGCCTACAGTGGGACGAGATCATTTAACACAAAGCCAACTTTTAAAATTTGTTCTGATTTGTTATACACGGCAGCAGAATGCATTTCAATTCATAGTATACATACGGAGCACAACTTTTCATGTCTCTGGTTATACACAAAGTAGCGTCACATAATTCGTGTGTTCATACGTGATCTAGGATAATGATGTCCATCTAAGTCCACCATCTTTCCTACCCCCATGCCCCTTCCCTTGCCCTCCCTCCCTTTTGCCCTATCCAAAGTTCCTCCAGTCCTCCCATGCTCCCCCCAGTCCCCCATTATGGATCAGCATCCACTTATCAGAGAAAACATTTGATCTTTGGTTTGGGGGGATTGGCTAACTTCACTTAGCATTGTATTCTCCAACTCCATCCATTTACCTGCAAATGCCATGATTTTATTCTCTTTTAATGCTGAGTAACATTCCATTGTGTGTGTGTGTGTGTGTGTGTGTGTGTGTGTGTGTATCTCACAGTTTCTTTATCCATTCATCTACTGAAGGGCATCTAGGTTGGCTCCATAGTTTAGCTATTGTGAACCAAGCTGCTATGAACATTGATGTGGCTGTGTCCCTATAGTATGCTGCTTTTAAGTCTTTAGGGTATAGACTGCAGAGTGGGATAGCTGGGCCAAATGGTGGTTCCATTCCAAGTTTTCCAAGGAATCTGCATACTGCTTTCCAGACTGGTTGCAGCAATTTGTGGACTCACCAGAAATATGTATGAGTGTGCCTTTTCCCCACATCCTTGCCAATGCTTATTGTTGCTTTTATTCGTAATAACTGCTATTCTGACTAGAGTGAGATGAAATCTTAGAGTAGTTTTGATTTGCATTTCTCTAATGCTAGAGATGTTGAACATTTTTTTTCATATATCAGCTTCTGAGAAGTGTCTGTTCCTTAGCACATGATTGATTAGGTTATTTGGTTTTTTTGGTGTTGGGTTTTTCCAGTTCTTTATATATCCTGGAGGCTAGTGCTCTATCTGATGTACATGTGGTAAAAATTTGCTCCCATTCTGTAGGCTCTCTCTTCACCTCACTGATTGTTTCTTTTGCTGAGAAGAAGCTTTTCCGTTTGAATCCATCCCATTTATTGATTCTTGATTTTATTTCTTGCACTATAGGAGTCTTGTTAAGGAAGTCGGGGCCTAATCCAACATAATGGAGATTTGGGCCTACTTTTTCTTCTGTGTTTTTGACACCATTGTCTACTACGAGATAACTGTATTTATGTGGGTTTGTCTCTGTGTATTCTGTACCATTGGTATACAAGTCTTGTGTCAATACTGTACCGTTTTTGTTACTATTGCTCATAGTATAGTCTAAGGTCTGGTATTGTGATGCCACCTGCTTCACTCTTCTTGTGAAGGATTGCTTTGGCTATTCTGGGTCTCTTATTTTTCCAGATAAATTTCATGACTGCTTTTTCTATTTCTCTGAGGAATGCCACTGGGATTTTGATTGAAAGTGCATTAAGTCTGTATGGTCATTTTGACAATATTAATTCTCCCTATCTATGAGCAAGGTAGATCTTTCCATCTTCTAAGGTCTTCTTTAATTTCTTTCTTTAGCATTCTGTAGTTTTCATGGTGGAGGTCTTTCACCTCTTTTGTTGATTCCCTAGTTTTTTTTTTTTTTGAGGCTATTGTAAATGGGGTAGTTTTCCTAGTTTCTCTTTCAGAGGATTCGTCACTGATGTTCAGAAATGCCTTTGATTTATGGTGTTGCTTTTATATCCTGCAAAGCCAACTTTTAATAAAGTGTTGACTCCTTGCTGCAACTTATTAAATGCAGCAAATGCTGGGGTTCAGTGTTCCCCCTCTTGATCATGTGGCCGACTGGGAGCTGTGGTTCAAACTGCTGCCCAGCGTCATGAGAGAGCTTCACCATCAGGCTGGGAGAAGACCAAACTTCCGCATTCAAAGTCTGGTTTCTGAATGGTGTGGCTGAGTGTGGTCACTTTCACACTGTCATTATGTCTCAGGACCATTGAGCCATAAGTCAGGACCTGTCTGTGCTAAACCACACAAAACAAAACCACAAGAAGGGGAGGGGGAGGTCCTAATTAGAATATGATATATCCCATGCTAGTACAATTATGTCAAAATGGATTCTACTGTCACATGTAACTAAAAAGGACCAATAAAAAAGTGAAAATAAAACCACTATTCCCGGTCCTCTGGGGAAAATGACAATAAACTGCAAACTGCCTATCTGTGAAGAGCAGGACTTCCAAGGCATGACCCAAGTGAAGTCACAGAAACAAACAGAGAGGTCTTCAAGCTGGGGTTGCTGAAGGCCCCTCAGTAAGGAGACTCCTGAGCTGAGACCTGAACCTGGGAAGCAGGACACAGTCCTGTGAAGGAGGTGGGACAACATGCCAGAGAGAGGGACCTGCACGTGCACCGCAAGGAACAAGTTAGCATTTAAACACATTTTCAGGACACACACACTTAGCACCATGAGCCCAACTTATAACTCAATTTTAAACAGCCAACAGTTAACCTGCCGCAGCTTC